GGCCTCGGGCCCTGGGAGGAGAGAACGGCCCCCGCCGCCACCGCCGCCGCCTCCCCCGGACCCCGCCACCCGCCGTTGACATGGCAACCGACGGCCGCCAGGGGGCGCGGCGACACTGGAGGCGGCCAGCGAGCAACGCCCGGGCCTTCTAGCCCTGGACCCCGGGATCCATGGGAGGGGTGAAGTCCACAAGACCCCTCCCCCGCCGAGCTGGTCGGGCCCAGCGTCAGTAATCGCAAAAATAGCTAACATTTACTTAGCGCCCCTCAGTGCTCGGGAAGTGTTGGGCGTTCCCGCTGAATCCTGAATCAACAGCCCCATAGTCAGGATCACTAACCCATTTTACAGAGGAGGACATTAAGGCTCGCAGAGGTGAGGTCATTTGCCCAAGGTCACACAGTGGCAAAGCTGAGACTCGAACCTGGTCTGTGTGAAGAGGATACCCATGGCTCACGCTATTTGCAGTCTGGCCAGAAGGATAGCAGTGATGCTGTTTGATGCTGTCTGTCCTTACGCAGGCATCAAGCCCACCATTCACCCAAAGATCTCCCTCCCAAGTCCTGTACCCCCTGCCTCCTCCCCCATCCCACCCAAGTCTTCCTCAACATCTTCCTGGCTCCAGGAGCCTTCTAATTCTTTCTCCAGCTCTGCCCAATGACCAGCCCCCAGCAAAGCTGTCTCCTCTACTTCCTCTGCTCCCCTTCGATCTGTCCTCTCCTCTCCAGCCCTCTGAGGATGGATCCTCAGTGCCCCCAAGTCTGGTCTCTCCATCTATCCCCCTCACAGCAGGGGCCAGATCATTCTGAAGTGTAGTGTGCATGTATTGCCCCCCGCTGTCTTCAGGAAAAGCCTGAATGTGACATTCTAGGCTCTTTCCAGTTCACCTCCCTGAGCCAAGGCCATGGAAAGCTCCCCACTGTTTCTCCAAGCCTTCCTGCCTTCAGGGTTGTGCTCTGCTGATTCCACTCCCCAATACCCTCTCTACCTGCAACTAGCCCTCGGGGAGTTGCTCCCCAGCTCTTAACCACTGCTCAGACTTGAAGTCTCCTCCTAGGAGGGGGCAGGAATGGCTTTAGTGACCCCAGTATCCCTGTTCTGGGGAAGGACCCTGCCAGGGAGTGTCTCAAGGATCAGGCTGAGGAGCAGGGAGCCTTCTCCTGAGGGCAGTGGAGTGATGTCAGGGAGTGATCTTCATGGGGACACTATTTATTAGAAGCAAGGAGGTCACTGGCTAAATCAGGATGGAGAAAGGGAGAAAATAATAATGTAGTAATTACAATTTATTGAGGGAAAATAAATGGTCTGAGCCTCTCACTTAGCTTTACAGGAATTACGTCAATTCTCACTCAACCATAAGAGGTGGGCACTATTCACCTCCACTGAACACAGATAGATACTTAAACTCAGAGATGACATCACTCAGCCAGGTTAAAACACCTGGCCAGTGGCCACACTGGTATTTGAACCAGGTGAGTCTGGCACAAACCCCACTTTACCATGTCAGGGCCCTGGCCATCTGGGCTAGGGGCAGCGCTAGGGGCAGGACAGTGATGGGAGAGGTGAGAGGGACAGTGACATGGGGGGATCTGCCCCGGGCTGGTTTGGCTTCCACTGTCAGACTCTCAGCCAGGCCCGCTGCCTGTTTCCCACAAGCCCTGCCTAAGTCACGTCCTGCGGGTAGAGGCCCCAGCAGGGGTTCCGGTGGTGGTGTCACCTCCACATCACCATCCTGGCCTGAACCCCAACATCCGCCAGTTACTTCCCCTCAGGGCCTCGGGCCCTCAGCCCTCCCTGAGGGAGGAGAGAAGCAGGCAGAAGAGGGCAGAGCCCTTGGGAAGGCTGCCCAGGCCTGGCAAAACCCAGGTGGAAATGAGAAGTGATTTCCCACTGACTTTGACTCTGTTCTACTGGTTTGAGGGAAATGTTTCCTGCTTCCCATGGATCGGCCAAACTGGCAAGGCTGGGCACATGGCTGGTCCTCAGTAAATGTCTGCTAACTGACTGGTCAGGCCCTGAGAGAGCCTCTGGTCCTGCTGCCATTTAACAGTTAGGGAAACTGAGGCACTGAGTAGGAAAGGGAGCCACTGGACAGCTGTTTGACCCTGGCCTGGACCCTCTGTTTTCTTTCCCCACACAGGGACAGGGTAGGGGGCATATGGAGGGGAAGGAGAAGACAGCTCATGGGGTGGGGGGCAGTTGCTCTTGGCTGCTGGAACATTGGAAGAGACAGGGCAGTGGCTGGATAGACCGGGGATACCGGAGAGAGAATGCACCTTAAAACCGTGCAGTTTCTGCTGCACTAGCCAGCCACTGACTGTGTGCCTTGCCCCGTGTGGACTTGCATTGTCACTCTGAACCTTTACAGCACCTCTCTTAGGAAGCTGCTATCATTGGGCCCAAGTTACAGAAGAGGAAACCGAGGCTCCAAGTGGTGAAGTGGCTTGCCCAAGGCCACACAGCCGGGAAGCTATGGAGCTGGGATTCAAAGCCAGTCTCTGCTCCCAAAGCCCAGGGTCATTTACCATCATCTTACACTGTCACCAGTACCAGGCAACCAGGCCAACCAATGGGAAAGCATCTGTTGAGCACCTACAGTATAGCCCCCATGTGCTAGGGGGTCAGTATGGATGGGTGAGGTCCATTTCTCTCTCAAGAAGCTTGAGGGTGTTTTGGAACATGCAAATAAAGACACAAGAGCATAGAATACTTTTTTTTCTTTTTTTTTGTGGAAGGTGGCTGGCTGGTACAGGATCCAAATGTTTGACCTTGGTGTTATGAGCACCCACGTTCTCCCAAGTAAGCCACCAGCTAGCCCAGTGCTAATACCAATACTAATGAAACTCTCAGTATGAATATTTTATTTCAGTGCCATGAGATCATGTGAAGGATACTGTATTTGCCCCATTTACCGATGGGAAAAGAGAGGCCCAGAGAGGGGACATGACTTAGCCAAGGTCATGCAGGTGGGGACTGGTCTCAGGCCTGCTTGGACCCAGTGCCTTTGCACTATGAAGTTTAAGGCCTCCAATTCCTGATAGCACCTGTCTACTCCTTGAGTCTGTCTTCGCCTCCCCCTCCATAAGCCTCCTGTATTGGTCTGTTTCTGTTGCTTAAAACATAAAACCTGAAACTGGGAACTTTATAAAGAAATGAAATTTATTTCTTACAGTTTCAGAAGTTGGAAAGTCCAAGGTCTGGGGGCACATCTGGTGAGAGCCTATCTTCTGTAGTGAGGCAGAAGGTAGAAGGGTATCACACGGGCTGAGCAAGAGCTAACCTGCTGGCTCACTCTGTTTATAACGCCATGAGAACCTCGCCCATGCCCGCCCATTAAACCATCGACCCATTACTCCAAGAATGGATCAATCCACTCTTACATAGTCCTTACAATCTAATCACCTCTTAAAGACCCCACTTTCCAATTACCATAATAGGATTTCCCACCCTCTTAACACTGTTACAGTGGGGATTAAGTTTCCAATACATCAACTTTTGGGGGACACATTTGACCCATATCGCTCACCATGCTGTTCCTGCTTGAGTTATAGACAGAGGAAGAGGAGTAAGGATGGGGGGACAGAAATCAGTGCAGGGTTCCTGGGGGCACTATAGCTCAAGCTGGCCCTGGAGGGACTCGAAGGAGGTAAAAGACTGAGCCGGCAGAGGGAAGAGCAGCCTTGGGGTGCAGATCCTGCCCACGTGGAGGCCAAGGCAGCAAAGCACGGGGGTGTTCAGGGATGAGGAACGTGGGCCAGCTGGGCCGGCCTCCAGCGCAGGCTGAGGAGGGCCTGTGGGACAGCCACCCGCCAGCAGGTCCCCAGCCACACTCCCAACGGCCACTCCAGGCAGCACAAAGGGGGCTCTGAGCTCCGCCAAGCCACCACACTGAGCTCCATTCATTCTCCCAGGGATGCCGGCAACTGCCCTGGCACCCAGGCCAAGG